TGGGATCAACCATAAAAATAGGCCTGGCAACCTGGGGCTCTGAGAGTATGCGACGTGAAGAAAGGCATCAAGAATTTTACAGCTTTTTAAAAAATTGTGCTTTAATTGAAGATTTCCCAACAACTCCAGTTTCTGCAGCTCTTCTTACGACTCGTTACGAATCAGCCGGTATTAATACTTCCGGTGTCAAGTGAGTTTATTTTTGCAGCGGCTAGGTTTCACCATAGAGATGAAGCCTAGAGCGACGCCACACTGCACCCCATACCGGAAGTTGCGTCACTCTGACCAATTTCAATAGTTAAAAATCTGGAAAAGGACAAATTGTTAGGCCTTGTAAGTTTTCTGGAACATGATGATGCTTCCACGTCTATGGGGGCAGCCATTGTCTCTCTATCATATTTCAGGCCTTCCCACCCCCCTTACCTAAAGCACAGCGGTTCCCAACTGTGGGTAACCCAGGCGTTCTCGCGATGCAATTCCCAGAAGCTCAGCTGGCCGAGGTTTCTGGGAGTTGCAGTCCAAGAGAAGACCCGAGTTCTTTAAGGTTGGGGAACCACTGGCCTATAGGGATGGGCGCTCCCGCAGTTGTCATGGCAACCACCGGCCGAACTATTTTAATAGGCCGAAAACAGTAAAAAGGGAGGGGCGACCTGTTCCCCTGGTGAGGTGATGAAACCCCTCCCCCAACTTCGCACGAGGAAAACCATGGAAACGGCAGGCGCATGCGTAAATCGTTCAGCGCTTCGCTTTCCGAAGAGACGCGGCGCGCGTGAAGTACGGAGAGCCGAAAAGGGGGCGTGGTGGTATCATAGAGGACAGGCATTGATGTCCTAGAGTAAACCAAATGGGTGGGATTTCTGTTTCCGGGTGAAGCCGGCTTCCGGTGTGCCTTCAAGAACCGAGTGCGATGGAGTCGGTGCTGAGCGAAGTGGTGGCGGTGGAGGATCTGCAGGTGAGGGCGCCTGGCGGCGAGACCTTTCCCCCTCTCTCAACCCCCCTCCCCGACCGTAAACTAGCTTAGCTAAGAGGAGCCTCCAGATTCAGGAGCAGTCTACCTCTGGCCACCAACGGCCGCTGGTGGTAAACAAACCTCTAGGCAGGGTGTGGGTGTGCCTGTTATTTACCCCTCAGTTTATTTGTATCCCGCCTTTTCAACTGGACAGGGAGGGACCGGAGGCCTCTCACAACAAGGCTTTTTTAAAAAAAGGATACATAAAGAGAGATGGAAGTCAGACAAGGATGAAAACTCACCGAAGGTGATCACTCTAAGAAGCAGTTGAATTAATTGCAGGGTTGAGTCTGTGTTGCATTTGAAGAAATGTGGAACAGATTAATAAGGTGGTGGTGGGGAAGCTTGGCAAGGTCATCTTTTTGCCCATTCATTCCTGGAAGTTAAAGGGCTGGGAGCGGTGAACCTTCTGGACTTCGTCCAGCGGTGCGTTCCTCAGGCTTTTTTTTGTTCCACTCTTCGGGTTGCTTCCTCCCTCCTTTCAGATCCACGCCCTTCTGCCTACCTTCAGACGTTCTTTCAAGGCTCTCTAAATAGTTGTTTTTTGTTTTTTTTGCTAGCCGCTGTGAACCCTTGCCTGATCTAAGTTTGAGTTGCTGATGGAGAGAAAAGTGCTCAGTGGCAGTAAAGTAGGGGAAAGGAGGGTGAACTTCCAAGTCTGAAATGGTGGACAGCCCAGTCATGGGGAAATTTTGGAAGTGAATATTCAATAGTTGGAGAATTAAGTGCATAGGAGACACTTCGGGTGGGCTGTGCCTCCTTTTGTTAATTTTAACTGTCCAGTTCATGCTGGACTCCGGTTCCCAGCAGCTCCTGCTACCCTGGTCTGTTGGTAGAGGATTGTAGGAATCATAGTTCATGAACACACTGTGTCAGGTTTATGAAAAAAGTGTGGGTTTTTTTGTCAGTTTTTTTTGTACATTGAGGTTCTGGATACCTGAGGTGCATCAATCATGTAAGGACTGGGAGCTAAAACTGTAGGCATTCGTAGCACAGAAGTTCTTCCAGACTTCTAGGATACAGCAGTCATGTATCACAGGGGATCCCAGCTCCTGGTCATGTAAGGACTGGGAGCCCAGAATTGTATATGGGGACATTCAGCTTCCAGATATGCTGTAAACCTATTTGTTTCCCAGCAGAGGCTGTTTCCAAAAGAGGCTGGAACTGTTAAATTGCACAGGCGTTGATGTATTTCTCTCATATTCCTCTTCCAGCATCTTTCTGGCGTTACTGCTGTAGAGGAGAATGTGGTCGTGGGACAACTTATTGCATGTTTTTCATAGAGGTTTGTGCTGTTTGGACTACAACTCCCAGAATTTTCCAGGCAACGAAGAATTATGGGAGTCGTGATCCAAGGTGGAGGCCATCTGGAGATTTGGGACTCATAGAATTCTCCAGATGGCTAGGGAGTCATTGCTCAAAACCATAAATCTCCATACTTCTTGTTTGCAGCATCAGCTTGCAGAAGCCTCGACCAGTATGGCTGGTGCCAATTCCAAAGAATTGTGGGAGTTGTACTTCAAGGTTTATAAGCCCTCTGGAGAGCTAAGGGTTCCCCGTCTAGGTCATAGTGATCACCAGCTGCCACATCTTGACTTAACACAGCCATGAAGAATACTCTGCTCTCTTCTCTAGTTCTGTCATCATTTTGTCTTTATCAATCCTAGATTAAGAACTATTTATCCTTTTCTTGAAGTGACCCTTCAACATGTGGTCATGGAGTAGAAGCAAAATAAGAACTGGATAGGTCAGTGGTTTGGCACCTGGCTGGGGAGCCAAAGGCTGGCAGTTCGATTCCCCCACTGGTGCCTCCTGGAAATGGCCGCCGGGTAAAAAAAAATAAGGCTTCCCGCTCTTTTCTGGGACGGATTCCTTGCAGCACAGGCAGCGAAAATGGCCGCGCTTTTCGGGTTTTAATGCGTTTCTATGGGCTTTTTAATTTCGCATTACAACGTTTTTGTTCTACAACGTTTTCGCTGGAACGAATTAATGTAATGCGAGGCACCACTGTAGTCTGCTCTCTCCTCTAGTTCTGTCATCATCATGTCTTTATCAATCCTAGATTAAGAACTATTCATCCTTTTCTTGAAGTGACCCTTCAGCATGTGGAACTGGATAGGTCAGTGGTTTGGCAACTAGCTGAGGAGCCAAAGGTTCGATTCCCCCACTGGTGCCTCCTGGACAGGGGCTGGACTCGATGCTTGGCAGTTCTAAGATTATCATTATTATAAAAGGCCAGGGCATTCTGCTCTCATGACTTGAAGTAGTGGTGTTGGATCAAGCCATTTGGATGGTTACAGATCAAAAACACCTCCTCTTAGTGGTGCCAAGGAGAGACTGGCGTAGGGGGCGAGGCAAAAGAATTTAGGGCACAGAGAATAATGTCCTCCCACCACAGTGTGGAGGTTGCCCTACTGCAAATTGTCTTGAACATCAGGTAATCAAAGCAGTCTCCTAATTACGTTGTATAATTACGTTGTATAATTACGTTGTTGTTTTGATGTGCTGCCAAATTGCCCTTGACTTATGGCAGCCCCATGAACATGTGATCTCCAAAATGGCCTATCTTCAGCAGCCCTGCTCAGCTCCTGCAAACTCCACCCTTTGGCTTCCTACAGGGAGTCAGTCCATCTCGTATTGGGTCTTCCTCTTTTCCTGCTGCCTTCCACCTTTCCTAGCATTATGGTCTTTTCCAGAGAATTCTGCCATCTCAGGATGTGCCCAAAGTAGGACAGCCTCAGCTTCAACATTTTTGCCTTCGCAGGGAGTTCAGGCTTGATTCGATCTTTTTGGCTGTCTGGAGTAAAAAGCTTTCCTCCAGCACCTTTCAAACAAATCAGTTTTTTTTTTCTTGTCAGTTTTCTTAACGGTCCAGCTTTCACACCCATACATGCCGACTGGAAATTCGATATTATAGATGATCTTGCCAGTGAAGCACTTGATGATCTTTTGTAGTTCCTTTTAGTTTCAGTCATCTTCTGATTTCTTGTCTCCAATAATGGGATGACTGTGATTAGAGATGGGGATGAAGTGTTCCCCCCAGTGGCGTGACGAACCACAAATCAATGTGTCGGTTCATCGGGTCATATATTTTTTTTACACAGCCTGTGGGGCAATGAATGTGTGTGTGTGTGTGTTTGTTTGTGTGTGTGTATATACCTTTGCAAAGTCATCGGGGCTGGGGGTATCACTTCTGACAGTCTACGCTTCTCTTCCTATCCCTGCTGGAGCATAGGAAGAGGAGCAAAGGGGGACCCAAGCGATCTCTGACCCTCCACTGTTTTTGCAAAGGCAGCAGGGCTGGGGGATCACTTTGATCCCTTCCCTCCTCTCCCTATGCCTCATCCCCCCAGCCCTGGGGGTGGGATTCCCTACAGGCAGGCTTTAGCAAGCCCCTGGAAGGGAACATCCCTCTCTGCTTATGTCCCCCCCCCCGGAACAGCTGATCTGTGCAGGGGGGCAGAAGCAGATAGGGAACAAAGGGGCGAATATAAAAAGGTTATATTCATTGTTTCATATTCGTCTGGGTCTCTGGACCCCAGGAATATGAAGGGATGAATATCTGACAAATCAGTGTTATTCGTTGAATATCCTGATTTGTTTTTAGATTCATCTCCATATCTAATTGTGATAATTAATGGTGCAACACAATTCTTATATCCATTGTTTCATATTAGCCAGGGTCTCTGGACCCCAAGAATGTGAGGGGATGAATATCTGACGAATCAGGGTTATTCGTTGAATATCCCGATTTGTTTTTAGATTTATCCCCATATCTGATTGTGATAATTAATGGTGCAACACAATTCCACTAGGGGGTGCCAGATCATTCTGATAAATGTTAAGCACTTCATAGGGCTATTAAGCATTTCAGGCCATGTTAGTCTCAGTAAGCATATTCAGGATTCTAGGCATACATTATTTTTCTTGAGTAGCCATGAAGGTGGGTTAACCACTAAAAAGCACCAAATCCAATAGCTATTTTTGCAGTCATTTTGCAGTCTTGCATATAAATGCTGGCCCTGTTCGGCGCTGTGCAGTGCAGTTAGAATGGGCACAGTGCAAGAATTAGATTATACAATTTTTTCCCTCTGGTGTAAGAGGTAGCTAGTAGGATCCCTAGTTTTTCTTGGTTGCAGTGCAAGACTGGGGGCTGAACATACAGTTTTTGTTTGTTCAAAAGCAGATTTCTGTTCTTTAGAGATAAGACCGAGTATATTTTTTACTGTGATTCTTGCTGCTTGGAACATTTTGACCTTTAAAAAACAACAATAGTAGGACTGGAATTTAAAACAACAACAACATTGCGTCTGTCTTGATATCCCCGTTCTTTTCTGCACTCCTTTGTATGGGAATTAATCTTGAAGAAGAAGGGAATATTGATTTCTTATAATTTATTCATTGAGTGCATTTGTACTGTTTAGTCAGAAGGGCTCTTAAAACAGCTCACAGAAACTGATGATATAGAGCATTTTTTTACAACCCAAAATTTACAACTTAAATTTTACAACCCAAAATTTAAGACATGACACATAAGGAAGAAGGGATCTGGAGAGAAGAGGAATACTGGGTAAAAAGATAAATGGAAGTACATGCCTAGATATGGAGCCCCAGCATGAGGGGCAAGGAGGGCCAGCTGCTTACCTAGAAATAATAGAATCATAGAATAATTGAGTTGGTAGAAACCTTTAAAACCATCGAGTCCACCTCCCTGCTCAAAGCAGGAATCCAAATCAAAGCAGATTTGAGAACTGATTCACTGAAATTTAAGACTAACGATAATTACTTTTAACAGTGATGTTAAGATGAGTTTTTGGCATCTTCATACAAATTGTTAAACTAATGTAATGTTACAGCAGCCAATCTATTTGCATCTAAGTGTACTGGGTACTGTGGGTGTAAAAACACTGCAAAATAGGCCCTTATTCCACTTGGAAGCATAA